AAACTCCCATAAATTTACTTCAATAACTCCAGAAGCAGTTGTACAGCGGGCAATTACAGAGGGTCCAGAACAGGCAGGTCAGGCACAAAGCCTTTTAAGCATAGTACAGAGGGGTCTTCAGCACCGATTCCCTACACAAATTGACTGGTCTGTTAATAAGCCCTGGCACAGCTTATCTGATGCTGTCATAAGGATGAAATATGAGACTGCTAGACTAGCTATAGAAGTTGGCCGGTTGCCAGATTTAATGTAATGCCCGTTAACTCAAGTACGAAAGGCAATGATTAAATATGCCCCTGCTCCTTATAAACAGGTTGTGCTGACCCTGTTGATAAATATGACAGGTCAGCCTTTAAGGGCAGTTGCTGAATCCTTGCTACAGTTAGAGTTGGGAGAATGGTTGGAGAAAGGAGAACTCCACGGCACCCTCAGTTTTTCAGACCACAGGCTAATCAACCCCTGAGGCGTAGTGAGGTGAACCTTGTGCCACGCCATGGTGAGCTGTTCTCTGAACTAATAAAGAATGGTGTACCCAGAAAATAGATAGATGGCATGGACACAGAAAAGCTTTATGCTCTGTATAAAAAGGGATTGCATAAGAAAAAGGTGAATAATATGAGACAGAAACCAGACCTTGTGTTCCCATCAGCCCCACCCAAGAATTTGTCCCCATCTAAACTGTCACCTTTTGGGGGACACAGAGGTTGTAAATCTCCTCTGACCATCTTTGTGCTCAGCCTCACCACCTTCTCCTGTACTGGATTTGTCACTCCCTAAAGTCACAGTGGGCAGTGTACTCCCTAGACCCCCAGCACCTATGGCGGTTGTAACTCCCCAGCAGTTGGAAGTTGGAGCACATACTTAAAAACTTGGGATAAGGCTGGATGCTGCCTTAGACGCTCTGGCACGCTCAGGCTCTGATGCTAACAGGGAGGAGATTTTGCAACACCATAACAAAGTAATTGAGGAAACCATTAAGGAGAATGACATTAACTTTAATGTGCTTGACAGGTTGTTGGAAGAAGCTGAAGCTAGTGGGCAGCTAGATTCTCTTCCCAAATAGGATAATGGCCAAGCCCCACATGCCCTGGGTATTCAGCAAGTAAATTCGGTAGACCCCCCCAGTTCATTTTGTTTTTTAATGCTGAAACCCGCCCCCATGTGGAATTAACTATCCACTGGCGGAAGGGTAATATTCAGACAGTTAGGGCACTTGTGGAGTGGAGACCACATTGATTTATGGAGACCCTAGAAAACACAAGGGAATCCCAGCAATAGTCACAGGGGTAGTATTACAGATAGGAAAAAACCCTTGTAAAAAGTACAAAGTTTGGATTGTGCCAATCAAGGAATACATTATTGGGATGGACATCCTGAGAGGTATGACCTTGCATTTAATGATGGCACTTATACATTCGGAGTTCACAAAGCTGAAGTTAGATTAGAGGAGGCTAAGGACATATTGGTAGGCCCATTACAGATACCACCAGTAGTATTGCCCCCCGCAACACAAAAGGTGTACAAAAAATAGGTACTGCATACCTGGGGGACATCAGGAGATTACTCAAACAATTGAGCGCCTCCTCAAAGCAGGACTCCTCAAAAAAGACAATCACCTCTGCTTGGAATTCAGCTATCTGGCCATTGCATAAACCGGACGGTACTTATTGCATGACCGTGGACTACCGAGCACTCAATAGGGTGACCCCACCATTGACAGCAGCAGTCCCTGATGTGGTCACAATTATAGAAAACATACAAAGACACTCAGGAGTTTGGTATGGGGCCTTATTATTATTATTATACAGTATTTATATAGCGCCAAAAAAGGTTCGCTCAGCGCTGTACATTATAGTGGGGGACAGAACATGAGACAATACAGTAACAAAACAATACCTGAGGGGTTCAAGGGCCCTGCTCTTTCGAGCTTACAATCTAGGAGGGAGGGGAAAGTGGTACAGGAGGAAGTGGCTGTGGGGATGGAGTGGTAGGAGGAGTGGAGGAGATCGGCTGTTAGGTGAGGGTGGGGTAGACTTCCCTGAAGAGATGGGTTTTCAGGGTGCGCTTAAAGGTGAGGAGGGTAGGTGATAGTCTGATGGATTGGGGTAGTGAGTTCCAGAGGATGGGGGAAGTCCTGGAGAAGTCCTGCAGTCGGGCGTAGGAGGTGGAGACCAGGGAGCTAGAAAGTAGGAGGTCTTGTGAGGAGCGAAGATTACGGGTTGGGTGGTATTTGGGTATCAGGTCGGTGAGGTAGTTTGGGGCAGTGTTGTGAATGGCTTTGTATGTCAGTGTTAGTAGTTTGAATTTAATGCGTTGGGCAATGGGGAGCCAGTGGAGGGAATGACAGAGGGGGGTGGCAGAAGAGGAGCGGATGGTAAGGTGGATGAGTCTGGCCGCTGAGTTCAGGATAGACTGAAGCGGGGATAGTCTGTGATGAGGTAAGCCGGTGAGAAGGGAGTTGCAGTAGTCCAAACGTGAAAATAATGAGGGAGTGAACGAGTTGTTTAGTAGTGTCTGGGGTTAGGAACGTATTGGAGATGTTGTGGAGGTGGAGTCTGCAGGAGTTTTCCAACGATTGGACATGGGGTTGGAAGAACAGGTTTGAGTCTAGAGTGACACCTAGGACTTTGGCTTGCGGGGTGGGACTGATGGTGGCATTGTTGGTCATGATGGAGAGGGTGGGGGGCACGGGCTGGGGGGAAGATTAGAAGCTCAGTTTTGGAAAGGTTAAGTTTGAGGAAATGAAGTGACATCCAGTCTGATATGTCGTTCAGCAGGTGGGTGATACGGGCGGAGACAGAAGGGGTGAGGTGAGGGGTGGAGAGGTAAATTTGCGTGTCATCGGCGTAGAGGTGATAGTTGAAGCCGTGGGAGTGTATCAGTTTGCCGAAGGAGGAGGTGTAGATGGAGAAGAGAAGGGGCCCGAGGACAGAGCCTTGGGGGACCCCAACAGAGAGGGGGGGAGAGGGGGAGGTGGTAGCATTATAGGTAACGCTGAAGGAGCGTTGGGATAGGTAGGAGGAGAGCCAGGAGAGAGTGGAGTCTCTGATGCCGAGGGAGTGTATTTTATTAAGGAGGAGGGGTGGTCAACTGTGTCGCAGGCCGCGGAGAGGTCAAGGAGTACAAGGACTGAGTAGTGGCCATTAGCTTTGGTGGTTAGCAGATCATTAGTGATTTTTAGTAGGGCGGTGTCAGGGCTCCCAGGTATGACCAGAGGTGTGTGACTGAAGCAGGGAAACGCAGACTTCAGATATGGGATAAACAACAGAGGGTCAGGCAGAGGGATGTCAGGGTCACAAGCCAGGGATCAGAACAGGTAGCAAGCAGCGTAGTACAGAGGGTCAGGCAGAGGGATGGTCAGGGTCACAAGCCAGGGATCAGGACAGGTAGCAAGCAGCGTAGTACAGAGGGTCAGCAAAAGAACAGAAACAGGATGCAGGACAGATACAGGGCCCAGGACAAACACACACCAAGGCAGAGTCTGTGGGTCTGGCCATCCCTTAAATACCCCAGCATAATCAGTTACAGGTGTTAGCTGGCTGCAAAGTTGAGTCTCTGATTGCTGGGAGCACCCGCTGGCCAGCCCTGGTACTGCAGATCAAAAGGCAGGTGAGTCCCACCATTGCTGGCCAGTCCATTCCTGACAGTACCCCCCCTCAAGGAGCGGCCTCAGGACGCTCCAAACAGTCCTAGCTGGGAAAAATGTTCCACCGCCCGGGTCTGGTAACTGGCGGGGATATCAAAGACTGGCACACCTGGCAGGACTCCGGGCAGCGGTACACCGGGCAGAGGCACATCGGGCTGGACACCGGGCAGAGGCACATCGGGCTGGACTCCGGGCAGAGGCACACCGGGCTGGACTCCGGGCAGAGGCACACCGGGCTGGACTCCGGGCAGAGGCACACCGGGCTGGACTCCGGGCAGAGGCACACCGGGCTGGACTCCGGGCAGAGGCACACCGGGCTGGACTCCGGGCAGAGGCACACCGGCTGGACTCCGGGCAGAGGCACACCGGGCTGGACTCCGGGCAGAGACACACCGGGCTGGACTCCGGCAGAGGCACACCGGGCTGGACTCCGGGCAGAGGCACATCGGGCAGGACTCCGGGCAGAGGCACATCGGGCAGGACTCCGGGCAGAGGCACATCGGGCAGGACTCCGGGCAGAGGCACATCGGGCTGGACTCCGGGCAGAGGCACATCGGGCTGGACTCCGGGCAGAGGCACATCGGGCTGGACTCCGGGCAGAGGCACATCGGGCTGGACTCCGGGCAGAGGCACATCGGATTACCAGGCGAAGAGCAGGCACCGGGCCCCCGGGCGGAGCGGCAGGCGCCGGGCCCCCGGGCGGAGCGGCAGGCGCCGGGCCCCCGGGCGGAGCGGCAGGCGCCGGGCCCCCGGGCGGGGCGACAGGCCTCGGGCCCCCGGGCGGGGCGACAGGCCTCGGCCCCCAGGCGGGGCGACAGGCCTCGGGCCCCCAGGCGGGGCGACAGGCATCGGGCCCCCAGGCGGGGCGACAGGCATCGGGCCCCCAGGCGGGGCGGCGGGCGCCGGGCCCCCAGGCGGGGCGACAGGCCTCGGGCCCCCAGGCGGGGCGACAGGCCTCAGGCCCCCAGGCGGGGCGACAGGCCTCGGGCCCCCAGGTGGGGCGACAGGCCTCGGGCCCCCTGGCGAAGCGGCGGGCGCCGGGCCCCCAGGAGGGGCGACAGGCATCGGGCTCCCAGGCGGGGCGACAGGCCTCGGGCTCCCAGGCGGGGCGACAGGCATCGGGCCCCCAGGCGGAGCGGCGGGCGCCGGGCCCCCAGGAGGGTCGACAGGCATCGGGCCCCCAGGCGGGGCGACAGGCATCGGACCCCCAGGTGGAGCGACAGGCATCGGGCCCCTCAGGCGGAGCGGCGGGCATCGGACCCCCAGTGGGAGCGACAGGTCTCGGGCCCTCAGGCGGAGCGGCGGGCGCCGGACCCCCAGGTGGAGCGACAGGTCTCGGGCCCTCAGGCGGGCGGCAGGCGCCCGACCCCCAGGTGGAGCGACAGGTCTCGGGCCCTCAGGCGGAGCGGCGGGCGCCGGACCCCCAGGTGGAGCGACAGGTCTCGGGCCCTCAGGCGGAGCGGCGGGCGCCGGACCCCCAGGTGGAGCGACAGGTCTCAGGCCCCCAGGCGGAGTGACAGGTCTCGGGCCCTCAGGCGGAGCGGCGGGCGCCGGACCCCCAGGTGGAGCGACAGGTCTCGGGCCCTCAGGCGGAGCGGCGGGCGCCGAGTCACCAAGCACGACAGTGGGCTCCGAGTCAACTGGCATGACCGCTGGCACTGGGTCAGACATTGGATCGTCTGGCTGGACAGCGGGCATCGGGTCACCAGGCATCAGGTCATTTGGCTCGACCGCGGGCACCGCGTCATCTGGCAAGGCAGTGGGCTCCGAGTCAACTGGTATGACCGCGGGCACTGGGTCAGACATTGGATCGTTTGACTGGAACAGCGGGCATTCGGGTCACCAGGCATCAGGTCATATTGGCTCGACAGCGAGCACCGCATCATCTGGCAAGGCAGTGGGCTCCCGAGTCAACTGGCATGACCGCGGCACTAGGGGCAGACATTGAATCGGTCTGACTGGACAGGCGGGCATCGGGTCACCAGGCATCAGGTCAATTGGCTCAACAGCGGGCACCGCGTACATCTGGCAAGGCAGTGGGCTCCGAGTCAACTGGTATGACCTGCTGGCACTGGGTCAGACATTGGGGGATCGTCTGACTGGACAGCGGGCAATCCGGGTCACCAGGCATCAAGTCATTTTGGCTTGACAGCGAGCCACCGCGTCATCTGCAAGGCAGTGGGCTCCGAGTCAACTGGCATGACCGCGGGCACTGGGCAGACATTGAATCGTCCTGACTGGACAGCGGGCATCGGGTCACCAGGCATCAGGTCATTTGGCTCAACAGCGGCCACCGCGTCATCTGGCAAGCCAGTGGGCTCGAGGTCAACAGGCACGACAGTGGGCACCGGGTCATCAGGTACCGGATTGTCCTGGCTCGACAGCGGGCATCGGTCACCAGGTACTGACAGCGGGCACTGGGTCACCAGGCATACAGGTCATTTGGCTTGCCATCGCGGCACCGCGTCATCTGGCAAGGCAGTGGGCACCGAGGTCACCAGGCATTGGATCCGTCTGGCCTCGACAGCGGGCAATCGCTCACCAGGTAATGACAGCGGGCACTGGGTCACCAGGCCATCAGGTCATTTGGCTCCCCACGGGGCACCGCGTCATCTGGCAAGGCAGTGGGCACCGAGTCACCAGGTACGACAGCGGGCTCTGAGTCAATTGGCACACAGAGCGGGCACCGATCAGGTACCGCTGGATCATCTGGATCAACAGCGGCATCGAGTCAACTGGGCCTAATAGGATCGTCAAGACTGATCAGTTTCATACATGCTGGGTAGGAGGGCATCAGGCTGAATGCCGGCGTCCGGCTGAGTAGAGGCTTCAGCCGAGTAGAGGCTTCAGGCCGAGTAGAGGCTTCAGGAGCCGAGTAGAGGCATCAGGCCGAGTAGAGGCATCAGGCCGAGTAGAGGCATCAGGCCGAGTAGAGGCTTCAGGCCGAGTAGAGGCATCAGCCGAGTAGAAGGCTTCAGCGCTGAAGATAGGCATCCAGACTTGCGTACAGGCATCAGCTGAGGTACACGGCATCAGGCTGAGAAGAGGCTTCAGGCTGAACCACGGAAGGCAGGTTTCACCGGTTGGATACTGGCAGGGATGGTATTAGGGTTGGAAAGAATTTTCGCTTTTTTCTGGTTTTAACTACTGGAGCACTGCAAGTAAACGCAGGGTCCTGCAAACGAATGGAGGGCGCTGATCCAGACAGAGAAGAATTGGAGGATGAACAGGAGAGGGAGCAGTTGCACAGAGGGCTTTTTTACAGGGTTAAAGCATGGGATAGGTGCGAGCTGGGGAGTGGAACAGGGTACTGACATGCGTAGATATCCAAGTATACTGGGCTGTAACTCGGAGGAGCTGTTAGGGAATACAGGAGTAGAGTTAGAAGCAGGACTGGTTTTTGTAAGCTGACTGAGGCTGGGTGCAACAAGTCTGTCCATGTCTGCAGTAGGGTTGAACAAAGCTGAGCTTACACAAAGCCTGTCTGGGTCAATGACTGCACTGCGTTTATACAATCTTCTTAGTACCTGTGGTGAACATGTGGAATAACGCTCCAGAAAGTAACCCACATCATCCTCTAATAACCACACCAGGACTCAACCTGGTCTGCACTAAATGGTGGCAAAATATCATCCCTGCATTCGGGTACCAGGATGAAACCAACTCAGCACAAACCTCAATCAAAGGCTGCACCTCAGAGAACTCTGTGCCCTGATCTACTAGAACATGAGCGAGCCGTATACATTCTAGCAGTTCATCCCGGGGATACTCCTTCAGAGTTTGATAAGCAATTATTCCCTGTCATCAAACACTAGCAGATAATAAATACACAACCTCATCCAGAATCCATCCCTCATCCCCCATCAACAAGCCAAGATGGCATCCCTGTGCAGCCACTTCTGGGTCAGGATGGCCTGTGTAATGTCAGGGCTCTCAGTTATGACCAGAGGTGTGTGACAAGTAGCAGGGAAACGCAGACTTCAGATATGGGATAAACAATGTAATTTTATTAACACTAACAATACAACACATAAACGCAGTGCAATAACTAAACATAATACAGTGCAAACAAACCCAAACCAACCACCCACAGATAACAGTACAGACAAGCAAGCGTCGTCAGGCAGGCAGGGTCAATATCAACTTGGGCAGGTAGGTACAGGGGGAGCAAGCGGAGAATTGTGGTCAGGGTCACAGGCCAGGTTCAGCAGTAGCAAAGCAGCGTAGTACAGAGGGTCAGGCAGAGGGAATGGTCAGGGTCACAAGCCAGGGATCAGAAAACAGGTAGCAAGCAGCGTAGTACAGAGGGTCAGGCAGAGGGATGGTCAGGGTCACATAGCCAGGGATCAGGACAGTAGCAAGCAGCGTAGTACAGAGGTCAGCAAAAGAACAGAAACAGGAAATGCCAGGACAGATACAGGCCCAGGACAAACACACACCAAGGCAGAGTCTGTGGGTCTGGCCATCCTTAAATACCCCACATAATCAGTTACAGTGTTAGCTGGCTGCAAAGTTGAGTCTCTGATTGCTGGGAGCAACCCGCTGCCAGCCCTGGTACCGCAGATCAAAAGGCAGGTGAGTCCCACCCATTGCTCTGGCCAGTCAAACACCATTCCTGACAGGCGTTTCGGTGGAGTGTAGGGGACTGTTTGTCAGTGAGGTGGGCGCTTAGGCGATTGTAGACTAAGCGCTCAGGAGCTTGGAAGTAAATGGCAGCAGGGAGATGGGTCTAAGGTTGTTCAGGTTGGTGGGGTCCAGGGAGGGTTTTTTTGAGTATTAGGGTGATGTGCGTGTGCTTTAGGGGGGAGGGGAATGTGCAGTAGAGAGGGACGAAATTGAAGATGTGGGTGAGGGAGCGTAGGATGGAGGAGGATGGGGCCCGGAGGAGTTGTGTGGGACAGGGTCAACAGGGGGCAAGTGGTGAGAGCGGGCTTCCGAGTGGGTGACCCTCCTCATTGGTGGCAATGCTGAAGGTTGCAGATTGTTGGGGAGTAATAGTCGTGCGGGGTTAGATGTGGTGGGGGGCAGGGCGGTTGCGAGGTCAGGGGAGGGGAGAGTTGGTGGTGGTTACTGGTGGGAGGGAGGCCTAGGTGGGGAGGTAGGTTGAGCATTGGTGAGTGTCCTTACGTATTGCTCGATCCCCGGAATTATGGATTAATTTCCTTAATTTACTAGAAGACTCTTTCCAATGCCACAGGTGAGGCTATTTCTACAGTATCAGCTGAACAAGAACTAAATGTGCCCTGTGGTACTTCAGAACCGGATGGCTCTGGACTACCTCCTGGTGGCCCAAGGTGGTGTTTGCCATATGGGAGGTGGATGCCTGTTCTTTTATAAAGAATGAGACTGGACGAATCTCCCATGTAGTTGAAAGGTATAAAATGGAGGAGGTTCAGGCATGTTCTCAAGCATTTAATGACACCACCTGGGGATATAGCAGAAGTATCCTCAGACTTCTTTAAGGATTTTGACTGGACCTTGGGATTGGGAGGAATGTTCAGCGGGCTGGTTGGAACCTTTACTTAAGAGGCTCTTATTATTGTGGGTTGATTTATTGGCATTAATATATATTATGGAAGCTGGGCTGGTATTTGATAGCGCAGATGCTGGCAGACCCGGAAACCAATGGACCTATCCAAGGTGTGGAATGTGAAGCCTATGAAATGTGTTGCCCTTGGACCCTTTTTTTCATGGCTAATTTTTTACAATATAGCATTTTTGCCCAAAATGCCAGGGGCATGAGAGGTGACTTGACGTCATTTCTCTAGGCCAAAGGAACAGAGTCACCAAGATATTCTGCTGATGCGCAGGATAAAAACTAGTTATGGAAAGGAACGTGTTTATGACCTCTGTAACCTCACATTAGGAGATAAAAACCTGTTTTAAAGACACCTACTTGCTTGAGAAGTAATAGAAATCCTTAAGTCTGGGGTAGATAAGAAAGCAAAAGTGTGTGCACTTTCAGATAACGAATAATGGTGGTTGAAAACGTGACTTCTTTATCCTCACGGAACCCTTCTCTCCTAGCTCCTCCTTTTGGTTGGTGTGGTGCCATTTCTTGGAGTGCCGAGTGAATGCTATGATGTGCCAGGGCAGGTGTTCATTTGGTAGATGGTCTTTCACATGCGTAGAATATGTAATGGTTTTTAAATGCTGATTAAAAGGTACCTGCATGGCTTCATGTTTGATTGTGTGCATGTATATGACTTGCTTTTAGTCATTGCACCCATCACTTTTATTACAGACTCGAACGGGCGTCCGGAGCTCCTTTGCTCAGCTAACTTACGGCGCCATGTTTTGGCTCCTCCCCAAAACTCTCTGCCCCTGTCTCCTGCAATCTCCTTCCTGCCTACCTGTAGTAGGATTTAAGAGCCAACATAGGCTGCATGCCAGTCTGTTCCCCCTACTTATAAAAAGTCTGCTTACTGGAAAAAGCATTTGCGTTTAGCAGTGGAAGAGTGAGTAAGAACCTTTGAGCTGAAAGCCAGGCATCCTTATGAGAGTCAGAGGGGTCAGACACAAGCCAGCTCCATCCTGCACCTGTTCAATCAACCATGAATCATGTCCCCACGTTGCCACCTACACAGATTTGACCTCAGAAATAAAGTCCACGCAGGAAGCTCTTGAAAGTGTCCAAACAAAAGGGTCATGAAAATGCACATTAATTTGAAAATAGCCAGCTATACGTGCCTCAATGGATTCATGATCTGAAAAAAAAAAGAGCCAAAAAAGGGTAAGTTGCGAAGGTGCTCTAGGCAGCATGGTGAGAGGTTTAGTGGTGAGTCGGACAACCAGGGGAGAGTGATCAGAGACCCTTCCAGGCATGTACTGCAGATTAAAAAACATAGGAGGTCCCAATGATAGATGCCAGGCACAGGTCTATTCAGTATAAGTCACATAAGATTTTGAAAAACGGGAATAATGCCGTTCCTCTGGACATTTACATCTCTATACATCCAACCATACCACCTCTTGCAAGAATCTTTGAAGTAGGCAGTTTCTTTATACTGGGGCCTACATCCAAAGGGCCTTATCCAAGCATAGATACCCATTAAGATCATCCATGATCAGCAAAGGAATGTTACCCTGACATTCCACAAAACCACAGGATCTTTGTCATCATGGGAGGATAGAAAGGAACCAAAGATATGTAGCAGGAGGCCTGCTGATATAGTAAATGGAAATCAGGAGTAGAAGGCAGGTGATCAGACAAGTAGGGGCAATATACTATCAGGCAGAATGGGTGGCATAAGTACACTTCCGGATCTCATCAGTTTCCATTGACCTAGAAACAAAGTAGTTGTAGGTAGGCATAGGGTAGAGAGCTCTGGAACGGTATACAGTTCACAGCAGAAAAAATGCTATACTGTAAACAGACCCCAACAGGGGATGTAACTTAACTTGTTCAAACAAAGTCCAAAAAGGCATTCCTGAGGAACTAAGCAACCTTCATGTACAGGGGAAAACACACTAAAAGGCATAACTAAAGGCTAAGGATCCACTGATCTGAGGCATCATGCCCGTTAAGTAGGTTCATTGGTGTCCCGCCGGTGAGAGACATCCAAGGTTGTCTCGAAGAAAGTGGTCTGGCTTGCAATCTAGCCAGGTAGAGCATAGATTAGGGCAGTTGGAACCTTTGGAGCCATTTCTTAATTTCAGTGAATTAAGCTTGCTTGCATTGTACCTCAGCAGAGTAATCTAGACAGAGAGAGAGTTCTTTGCCCAATTGGTACTGGATTTCGTTACACTCTCAGGCTAAACGAAGAACACTTTCTTGATCACGGTAATTAAGTAGTCATTATGGGGATACAGTGGGTGGCCGGCCTACAGAGGACAGGCTGGATCCTGTGCACACTGTCCACCACAAATAAGGTGTAAATGCCTCTCTTCCGAAGATTTCAACGAGCCAGTGTTCTATAAAGTTTTGGCTGAAGAGGACTACAGACGTGCAGAGTTCGGGACAGACCAGGAGAAGGCACGAGTGAGGATAAAAGGCAATAGCTGTCGGTATAAAGGATCAGTAGATGATCAGAGTCAGGAGCTCTCCGTGAGGCATGTCCGCTCACATGCCCTCTTAAAAAAAAAAAATAAAAAAATATATATATATATAATATAATATTTTTCTTTCCCAGAAGTTCGCAAGATTGTCAGGGATCGGTTATGACCAGAGATGTGTGGACTGACACAGGGAAACGCAGGCTTCAGGGTATAGTATAAACAATACAATTTATTAAAGACTAAACAATACATAAACGCAGTGCAAGACTAAACATAAACACAGTGCAAACAAACCAAACCAACAGATAACAATAAGAACAATACTAAACGTAGTCAGGCAGGCCGGGTCGGTAGCAAACGGGCAGGCCAGATACAAGGAGCAGGCGGAAGAGTAGTCAGGAATAGCCCGAGGTCGGTACAGGCAGAGTTCGTGCAGAGTCAGGATTCAAGCAGGCAGGATCAGGATACAGGGGCCAAGGGAAACTATACACTAAGGCACTGACTGCAGGCCTGGCCACTTCCTTAACTAGTTGCCGACCGCAGATAGCCGAATGACGGCTTCACTGCGGCCGGCCAGTTCTGGGTGGACGTCACATGACGTCCCCCCCAGAACGCGCTCTCCTGCACGCCCCAGGGGGTGCGCACCCGGCGATCTCCGTGATCGCTGTGTCCTACGGACACAGCTGATCACGAGATGTGGTAAAAGGCCGATCATACCGGCCTTTTACCACGTGATCAGCGGTGTCCAATGACACGCTGATCACAGGGAAATGCAAGTGCCGGTTCTCGGCTGCACTTTCCTCACGCTGTCAGATCGTGAGGAAAGTACTGCCGAGAACCGGCAGTTGTCAGAGCGAGGATCGGCACCGATCATCAGGGCCACTGAATTGATCAGTGCCCTGATGATCGGTGCCCAGCAGTGCCACCCACAAGTTCCGCCCACCTGTGCCCAGCAGTGCGCCCACTAGCTCCGCCCACCTGTGCCCAGCAGTGCACCCACCTGTGCCCAGCAGTGCACCACCTGTGCCACTCTGCAGTGTCACACACCTGTGCCCAGAAGTGCCACCTACCTGTGTCCAGCAGTGCCACCCACCTGTGCCCACCCACCTGTGCCCACCAGTGCCACCCACCTGTGCCCACCCACCAGTGCTGCCCACCAGTGCCACCCACCAGTGCAGCCCAGCAGTGCTGCCAGTCAGTGCCACCAGTCAGTGCCCAGCGGTTGTGCCAGTCAGTGCCGCCAGTCAGTGCCCAGCAGTGATGCCAGTCAGTGCCATCTATCAGTACCCATCATCAGTGTCACCTATCAGTGCCGCCTATCAGTGCTGCATATTAGTGCCGCCTATCCGTGACACCTCATTAGTGCTGTCTATCAGTGCCCGCCTATCCGTGCCACCTCATTAGTACTGCCTATCAGTGCCCTTTAGTGCTGCCTATCAGTGCCCATCAGTGCCGCCTATCAGTGCCCATAAGTGCTGCCTCATCAACGCACATCAGTGAAGGAGAAAAAATACCTGTTTGAAAAATGTTATAATAGAAACAAAGAAACTTTTTTTTTTTCAAATTTTTTGCACTTTTTTAATTTATAGCGCAAAAAGTAAAGCGCCCAGTGGTAATTAAATACCACCAAAAGAAAGCTCTATTTGTGAGAAAAAAATGATCAAAATTTCATATGGGTAAAATGTTGTATGACCGCGCAATTGTCAATCAAAGTGCGGCAGCGCTGAAAGCTGAAAATTGGCCTGGTAAGGAAGGGGGTATAAGTGCCTGGTAGGCAAGTGGTTAAATACACCTCCTGCAATCAGCCTCAGGTGATGACTTGATTGCAGGAGTGAGCTTCTGGCTGCTGAGAGCACCCGCTGGCCAGCCCCTGGTACTGCAGCCCACACGGCAGATGAGTCCCACCACTAATGGGGAGTCCATTCCTGACGGGTGTGGATGTATGCTGGAGAGTTCAGCTGAGCTCCAGGAAGGCCTGAAAAGCCTGGGGCTAAAGTGCCCTGCTCAAGCTCAGGGAGGATGGCGGATCCTGGCTTGGGTCCAGCGTTGATATGCGCCTGGAGGAGCCTAGTACGGGTCCCGATTTTCAAGCCATAGAGGACCTGGGAACAGCCCCAAGGAAGGGGGAAGATGGCAGCGCTTACCGCGACCGGATGGTAACCCGTATCAGAATGATAGAGAAGGAGGAAACAAAGTTGGAGAAATTGAGTCTGGAGCTCAAAAAGTTCTGTCAGTCATATGACAGAGTCTGGAGCACAAAACACCAGTTGATGAAGCCGGGCCTGGAGGCAATGGAAAAGCGGGTGGCCCTCCAAAGTAGTGGCAGCCTTGAAAAAGAAGAGTGGAGTACTAAGGGAGAAGTATCAGAACGAGACTCGCTTCAAGGCCGCAAGGAGCAGAAGAGTGGCTGCTGTAAGGGGCCCAGTGGAGATTGTCTCCTCCATGGAGGAGCTGTCGGAGACGCCATTGACCGTTGGGGAGCAGAAGCAGGTGCCGGAGCACGCTGTATCTACCCAGCAGAGTGAAGTTCCTAATAAGGGAAACGCCAAGGCCGGTGAGGACGCGGGAGACTCTGGTTTCCTCCCCCCCGGGCAGCAACAGCAAGCCGATTGGGGCTCGCACATGGAGGAAGCGGAGGCTGCAGGAGAGCTCCGCTTTGCGATGGAGACAGGGCTGGAATATCGGGAGGACAACTTCCGGGTTCACGCCGGCCGACTCAGAGGAGGAGGAAGCGATGTCACGGAAGCCGTCGAGGCCTGTTCTGCGGGAGTGGGCCGTGTTTGTGAAACTGCAACGGATGCCTAGCTCTGTGGAAGGTGAATTGCTGGCAAAAGCGGGGGAACCGCTGGCGGAGGACGTACTGCAGGACTCCAGGGGACTGGGGAACGAAGCGGCTGATGTCGCGGGGAAGGCTGGTAAAGTGTCGGCTGTTGTGTCTGTAGAACGGGTCCCTGCTGAGGTTCCTGGGGATGGTGTATCTGTCCCGGTCTCGGCCCTAGTTCAGGTCTTATCTGAGCCCAGGGCCTGCCCGGGCCGAATCTCCAGGTTTCTGTTGCCCCCGGTTGCGGGTCCCCGGGTGTCTGGTCCTGCTGTGGCTGAGGTTCCTGTGACAAGACCTGATTTGAGTTACTCAGCAGTGTTTGGGGGGGGTCAGGGGGCCTTGGGGGTACCCCAGTCACGGGCGGGGAACCTACCTACGTCAGCTGCGCGTAGGAATGTAGTGCAGCTTAAGTGGACAGGGACAGGCCCTCCCCTGGGGCGTAGAGAGAGGTCATTGACCGCATCTTGGAGATGGGTTTCCGTGCGGTGGACATATTTGCCTTTATTGTCCCGGTGGACGGGCGAATATGATCTATCCTTTACGAGGGCCGACCTATTAGATCTTTTTTGGCAGAAATATGAGTTCACCTATGCCCATAGTCCTAGGTGGGAGGGGCTAACTACCAAGCTTGTTTCTCGCCAGAATGTCATCAAAAAAGTAACGATTCTGGTTAGGAATGAGTCAATTCCCAGTTTCCAATATTGTTGTCTGGTTGGGAAGGTTTGGAGATGTCTTGGGGCCTCTGCAGAAAATCCTGGATGACAGGAAAATATGGACGGGCCCAATGTTCGTCTGAGGGTGGAGGGTAATGTCTTACAACACATCCCCTCCTCTGCCTTCCTGGGGCGGGACCGGTTGATCGTGTTCTATGCTGGTCAGCCCCGGGTGTGCCATAGGTGCGGGTAGGTGCGGGCTAAGGGGAACTTTGCAGCCACTTGTCCAGTCATCAGGTGTTCACTATGCCAAGAGATTGGTCACCTGGCTAGGGACTGTATATAATAAAGTGTAATCTGTGTGGCACTATGGGGCACTCATATAATCAGTGCCCGGAGGCCCTCCGCAATTTGCCGGTGGATGAGCTAGCAGCAGAATTAGATCGTATGGATGCTAAGGAAGCTGAATTGGTGGCGGAGAGGGCCAGCTTGGCCTCTGCAGCAGCTTCTGGAGGCAGGGAGGATGGGTCTGAGGTGTCCTCAGTTGTAGTTGCCCCGGTTGAGTCAGATACGGTAGTGGCTCCTGTAGTTCCTTCTGTGGTACCGGTTCTTGCCCCTAAGGGAGGAAGGAAGTTGGCAGAGGCTGAGTGGTGGAGGTAAAATCTGGGCCTGTCGTACTGGCTCCCCCGGTCCTTCTTCCTCGTAGGTAAAGGGGTAGGTCAAGGGGGGCTCCCCAGGAGGACCAGGGTCCTGTTCAGAGTGGGCAGGATAAGGCCCAGGAGGAGAGTGAGTGGTCAGTGGTGAGGAGGGGAATAGGCCTGCCCTCTCCACTGCAGGGTCGGCTTCCTCTCTTGAGGTGGAGGACCTAGCCCTTGGTAATAAGTTTGGGGCTCTGTCGGGGGAGAAGGGGGAGGTCTCGAGTGACCCCGCTTCTCCGATGGAGGAAGGGGAGGTAGGTGTGGTGTTGTGGAGAGAGTGAGGGATCCTGCCAAGAAGTCCAAGAGGAAGGTTAAAAAACGCCTTTCTCAACCTCAAACTCCTTGATGGCAGTTCCCGCTCCGCTAAAGGTGGCAACTATTAACGTTGCCAGCCTAAGATCTGTAAGTGCAAGAGAGACAGCCCTATTTTTGATCAGTGAGATGGATGCTGATATTTTTTTTTTGCTAGAGACCAGGCTGCCCACCTTGGCTGATATCCATCTGGCCAAGAGGGAGTGGAGGCGTGGGCCATCCTACTGGTCTCTTGCGGCTGAGCCTTACAGCGGAGTCGCGGTCCTTTTTTCCGAGATGGTAACGTGCCGGCGGGTTTTTGAGGTTGAGATTGGTAGATGTTTGGTCCTGGATGTCCTTGTGAGGGGGCAGGAGCTGCGCCTGATTAACATCTATGGGCCGCAGTCCAAGTGGGATAGGAAGTGCCTTTTCACAAGGATCAAACCTTTTCTTTTTACATCCCGACAGGTGGTCTTTGGAGGTGACTTCAACACCATAACTAGGCCCAAGGACAGGAGGGGCTCCACTGACCGCCTGGGGTATGATAGCGTTTTTCTTAATTCTATAGTCAGGGAAGCAGGTCTGCTAGATGCTTTGATTAAAAGCAATCCGGACAGCACTGGGTACACGTATAGGAGAGGTAGCAGCCAGAGTAGAATTTTTTTTGAAGGATGACTCTGCCTTCTCGGCACCTGAGTGTCGGGCGGTGGAGTTCTCCGATCACTTTATGCTTACTGTGG